TTTACATTACTTACATTGCTATAATTTCCACTCATCCTATTTGTTCATTCACATTTCAGATTTACTGTCATGCAGTAAAACAGTTTTGACATAATGGATGATGCTTTGACAATCTGTTTCTGATATTCACAGAAAGGGACTTAACTCTTTGAGTCCCCGGGGTTTAGCATCACAGGCCCAAGGGGTAGTCAAGAAAGACATAAAATTGGTGCATTTTGCGTTCATTGGGCTTCTAGGTAGGAATCTATGAACGTATGATGCGTTCGTTGGGACTCAAAGAGTTAACTAGTAGTACTAGATAAGACATCCTTTGAAATTCAGCTTGTTTACTAGGCCTATCCTGTACTTAATCTGTTACTCATCTTGCATCTGCTGTTGAGATTGTCTTCAAGTGTTCAAATTGTTTCACTTGCTTAAATTTTCCCTAATATTTTTTTTTCAAATTTTTTTTTCTTCAAATAACCATAATTTTTGTTTTCTTGATAATCAAGTAGAATCCGTTGCACTCTCTTTTACTAAAATGTCCGATAGTTGTTGAAAATCATGTTTACACTTTATTTGATTAGTATCGTCAGCATTATGCAGAATATTTTTATTTGTATAACTTTCAACTCATTCACTGGTTTATCTTTGCCCCATCTGTAATTTTCTTATTGAAACATAGATCCAGAGTGAAAACACTTCCTTGACTGTGTGTTGTAGCAATTACAAAATTACCCACTTTATTGACCCATTTTAATTGCTGTTAATTTTGTAAATTATTTTGAGATCTTTCCCATAATTTTTGTTTACATCCTACTAACATTTTATACATTTATTGTGTATATGTGTGCACACACATGCATGTGTGCTACATTTCTGCATGAGTGTGTCATACCATGCTTTTGTCTGTGTATTTCTAACAGATCTCAATATTCAATACACATACAATACAAGACCCTTTGTGAAAGATGTTTGAAAGTGTTGAATATAAGATAGGCCTTTGTGCTCAGATTGGGGCTCTTTGAAAATAAAGATTTTTCGTTAATGAATGAGTATAGAATTATGTTTAGTGAATATAGTATATATTATACTCCAATAAAGGCCACATGGTGTGATTTTGGGGTTAAGCTTCATGGCTGATTGCTTCCTGATTTCAAGAAACTCATCTAATTCAGTCTTTATTACTGTGCCTACTATACATTTATGTATGCATATGTTGTTGGCGATGAAAGGCAGATAGATTGACTGGTTCTACCATAGCTGAGGTGGTTAGCATGTAGATTGCACCAACATTGTTAATGTCCATAGAGAGAGTTGATAGTCAGAGGATTTTGGGGGCAGTGCATTCACTTTGATGTTAAGAATTGAGACTTTTTGAGGAGTTGAATTTGGCAAATCCATGCACGAGAGGCACACTAGATATACACAAACATTTTGTCAGCCAGCATTGATCTGGTACTGGTACCCTGATAGTGAAAGGGGGGGGGGGGGGGGGGGGGGGGGGGGGGATCGAAAATATGATCACATGTGTAACAATTTGTTATTGTTCATTTTTTTACCTTAATGTTTGTAATGCTCTTCCTAAATCTATATTAATAAAAATGTTAATTTTCCGATGTTGTTAGCTCTAAACTCGGAAACTACTGAACCCATTGCTTTCAAATTTTCACACAACGTTGCCTCTGACTCAAAGCGTGATTTTTTGTCATAAAATCACACAAACCACGAACGATTTAGCTCCAGCAACGGTCAAATCATTATTGGTTTCGTTGCCCGCCCTGTTTTGTTTTTTAGGATCAATCTCCGATATTTCTTTACCGATCGCTTTCAAATTTTCAGACAACGTTGCCTTAGACTCCACGCATGTTTGTATGTATGAGTTTTGTACAAACCACGAACGACCTAGCTCCAGGAACGATCATTTCATTAGTTATTTCGTTGCCGGCCCAGATTTGTTTTTAGTCGATTGGCCACCTTTGACTGTGTAACACCGAACTTCACATTATTATTATATACTTTAATTTCTACTAAATGCTTGAGTATTTAGTAGCCTAGTTAGTTGTAAGCATTTCGCCTTTAACACGGGTGATATGGGTTCAATTCCCCGCTGGGTGATATAATTTATTTTTTGGCCTCTAACTGGGTGGCTGCCACATTTTGTTGTGGTTTACAGCTAGGCTGCAATATCTACGCTTTTTTCCCATTCGATTTTGGGGTTTACAGCTAGCCTGCAATAGCGGCGACGTGATGCTCAATTTTCATGTGACGGGTAATATTCGTTCTCCCTTGAGAGGGCGGTTGGCACGTTGTGGTTTACGGCTAGGCTGCGATATCTGACCTAAAGTCTTCAGTCTTCGGTAGTAGAGTTGTAAGTATTCCGCCCTTCACGTGGATGACCAGTGTTCGATTCCCCGCTGGGTGCTAATTTTTCTTTTTCCCCTAAAGGGGCGATTGGCACAGTGTGTTGTGGTTTACAGCTAAGTTGCAAAATCTGCGCCTTTCGCCCAAAGACATCTTATTTCAGTAAAGTCCCAGTTAGCCTCCCCGCGACGCTTCTTGGTCAAAAACTATTCCACGATGACAGAAACTGTTAACTAAGACGGCTTACAGTCCAGTTTAGTTTGGGTGGACACGGATTCCAAGGTCAGTTAAAAATCTCACTTCGGAGAGGGAGAGATGAAGTGTGCGGGGTATTTTTCTTCACTATTTGTTAGTATAGTGTACTTTTTATTATGAGTTCCATCACTGATTAGGTGATGAAGTTTTTTTTTTCTTTGTCGGGGGCAAAATTAAACTAAACAGTCCTTGGTGACAGCATGCAGCGCTAACTCCTCTGGCTACACTGACCTACACATACTGTAGTGACAGTTTTTTGTTGTTGTTATTGTTATTGTGATGGTGGTGGTGGTAGTGGTAGCAGTAGTCTGGTACTGCATGTGTGATGTGGTAGCTGTTACACTGGCCACGTGTACTTCTCAGTACACATTAATGCTACCCATTTTAGTCTGGGTGGACACGGATGCCAAGCTCAATTTAGTTACAATATTTCGTCAGATGATGACTTTCCCATCCTTCGGAGAGGATGATATGATTGGGTGTGGGGGGGGGGGGGGGGGTTGATGCTAGATACTATTAACTGAGAGAGCTTAAAACAGTATTTTAAAGTTCTCATTTCTTAACTATCTTTTTTAAAATAATTTCGCCAGAGAAAATTTTTCAATCCTTCAGGGAGGGAGATATGACTGGGTCGATGGGAGAAGAGGGTGGGATATGACAGACACTGTTAGTTGAGAGCTATTTTCTTTCTTTTCCATTTCACCATTCTGGGCCACAGCAACGCGTGGCCAGGTACGGCTAGTCTAATATAAAACCAGATTTTATGCCCTAGGAAACACACCATTACCAATAGAGCCTCTTAAAAAAAAAAATAACATTCCTACCCAATAATGGCATTACTCCATATCAGATCTAATTAACTGTTCTGTGTCACTAATTTCAAAATCCTTAACTTGTTATTTGACACTGTTAATTGATTTGGAACAGTCCAAATAAAAAACTAATTTTATTATGTCATTAACATGTCTGAGATATGTCCATCAGTGACCACAGCATACTAAGTACTTTGAAAGTGTTTGTATTATTTCTTCTATATACTCATATGTCAACCCAATATATCAGGGCAGAAGACGCACCAGCAGCCAAGTAACCATTGTAATATGCAGCGCACCACAAATTATAGTGTCTAAAGTCTCTCAAAAACTACACACATCATCTTATGCCTTGCCACGTGATGTAGGCATTTATTTTTCTCCATAGATCAAAAGCCACATCCCAAGGTACACCCATACTACTGAACTTCTTGTATAGACATTACTAAAACAATAATGAGTTAGAAATGACTTTCAATCTGTTTACCATTAGTTATGTTTGGTGATACTGATTTCATTTAAATTTGCCTTTTGTTTCAGATGCTATCAAGAACAAAACCTGCTATGGGATCTGGAACATTGCCAGCTGGAAAGGACACAAAAAGGGGGAAAAAACTGCCAACTGTTGAAGAGTTTCTTGAAATGAGAGACTATACCGGTGCAATTACACTGCTTGAGGTAACTGACGTACAGTCATAGACTGCTATGGCATTAATGTGCTGCTGCTTTTTCCTTTTAAAAAAAAATACATAAATGCTACATCGTCACTTTAGTGTTGGTGGAGGGAGGTGACATTTGAGAAATTCAAAACAATGTTTTTTCTTAGTTAATTTAAACAATGTGGACGCAAATAATACATTGCACAATTTATTGCTTGGCATATTTCACCATCGAATGAATTCAATTTTTCATGCTTCATTATATGTTAATGTAAGTTTATAGTAATGCACCAGAGGAGATACAGCACAATTATGCTTTGTATTGTTTGTGTTCACATTTTTTAAACATAAATATGCTTGTTATGAGTCAAGTTTACAACCCACTATGAGAGGAAGACAAACAACGACTAAACTTTGACACATTACAGCAGACAGGACAATTACTGGTCAAACGGGTTGTGTGTAGACAAGATGGGCATGTATAGTAGGGTAGTTAAGTGTCACAGGTGAGAAGAGTTTATAAACGTTCATACTGCTAGTGTGCTTTGTGAACAACCACACCAGATACTGTTGATATACTTAGCCAGTGACTACCTATGATAAGTGTGCTTATAAGCTATGAGAATAAATGGGTGGCTACTTAGTAGCAGATAACTTTGTATGGAAGCCAGACTAACTTTGCAATTATTATAAGTACTCATATAAACATTCTTGAGAATTTGAAACAAAGTAATAACTGTTTACATGTTAAGGAAAGTGCAGGCCTACTAACAAAAAATAACAGCTGTAGCTCTGTCACACCTATAAAAAGGTGTCTGACAGTGCTTTTATATCACTGATGAGACAATACTGTTGAAGTTGCAGAATTAATTTGTCTGACTAGTACTGCTCTGGAGGTGACCAACCCTCATTATATTAGTATATAATCTTGAATGTTTTTTTTTTTTAGTATGTTGAAATTTTGTAAAGCTAAAGATGGTAAGCAAAGGAACTGGTCATCTAACCTTAGTATGCTTTTAACCTAGAATATGCAAAGGCACGATACTTAACACTGTGGCAGTATCTGCCATAAGAATTTCTTTACTTACATCTTCTTTTGCATTCTGAGCCTTGAGGCTCATTGCTGCAAATAGCACTTGTTCCCATTCATCTGTCGTATTTTTCCATGTGGTGACTTCAAGTGTTTGCAGCTCTGCCTGTTTATTATCTCTCCTCTGTCTTCTTGGTCTGTCTCGTGGTCTACTCCCATGCAGCTCTTTTTTGTGTGCTTTTTTTTGTCTCTCTGTTATCTGCCATTTTTTCTGTATGTCCAAAGTATTGCAGTCTTTTAGCCCCCATGATGCCAGTAATAAATGGTGAATTAAACAGATTATGGATTTCATTGTTGTTTATCACTCTCCATTCTCCAGTGTTTTCACCTTTGGGTGCAATGATCCATCTCAAGACTGTTCTCAAACATTTGTAGTGAGGCTTCGTCTCTTTACAGAGCTGTATAAAACAACTGGATTTAGTAATGTTTTATGTATTGTGATCTTACTGTTACATGATAGAGCATTAAGCCTATGTTCTGCATAGTATACCTTATTTTCAGATTATATTCCTAATTGTATTTCCTCTCTTAGCATATCAGAATATTAGAAGTTTGTACCCAATTACTTTTATGTCTGCTCTTTTTATTTGTATTTTAAGTTTTGGTTTGAGTTTGTATCCTTTTCCTCTCTTGTTATTACTTATTAAAACTGTCTTGTCTTAAATGATAACTAGCCCCCTTTTTTCAGTTGCTTCCTTTAAGAGAGTCATTGTTGTCACTGTCTCTGATATATTTGTCTACAATGTCCATGTCATCTGCATAACCAAGTATGCATGCTGTTTCTCCAATAGCATGATCTTCTTGTTCACAATTCCTTTTTGTAAGTTCTCCCATGCATATTCTGAACATGCTGATTAACTTCTTCGGTATTCCAGGTTTTTGCATAACATCCCGCACACTGTTTCTATGTACACTAGCATATGCTTTTTTTTTAATTTACAAAAACTCATGTTCCAAATTTTTCTTTGCTTTCAGTCTAAAAATGGTTATCTGATCTATTGTTGATCTGTTACATAGCAAACCTGCCTTAGTCATCTAATATAATCTTTTGTGTATGGCTGTAGTCTGTTAAACAGTACTGCTGATAGTATCTTATTCATTCATTCAGTAGCATGTCCCTCGCGGAACCTCGCTGCCATAACAACCCTCCGGAAAACCTTCCTATCATGAGCAAGATGTCCTGCGTCTGATACACCCATCTGGAGATCATCTGCCACATCCTGCACCCATCTTCTCCTTGGCCTTCCTCTTCCTCTCTTCCCAGGCATATACCCCTCCATTATTGTTCTCTCTAGACCTCCATGACGTTTCAAGTGACCAAAATATTTCAATTTTCTTTGTTTTATTGTCTTTACTAGCCAACCCTCTTCAATAGTATCTTACAGCTTGTATTTAACAGTGATTTTTCTGTATGATTTTTACATTTTATCCTTCCTTAAAGACCACAAGTGGACATGTTTCCATAGCTGTCCCAAAATTGTTAATATTTTCAACCGAATTCTTCTATTGGAATTAAAGGTTGTGATATGACTGTATTTGTGTTGCACTCGGACTTACAGTGTAACTAATTCTAATAAATTATATATGGATGTGTTATGTTGAATTTAGACACATTCTTGAAATTAAACTGTAAGAACATGCATTTCTGAGTGTACCAGTCATCGATAGACCGCATTGTTGACATAGCCATGTGTTCGTCATAGTAAATCATGCAAAGAAAATCGATAACGGGCTAGGCTGCTTGAGCCAGTGAAGCGGAACGAATTTCCCCACTTGAAAGAATAACCCCAGCTTGCATACAATCAGGCGTGTGCAGCACTACCACACCAACACATGATGTCATTTAAAATTTGAATAAGCATTTCTCCAGGTAGGTGGGGCCCATCAGCTGGAGACAGCAGTTCCCTAATGAGAAGTATACTTTGAAATAAAACTACCACTGCACAGTGGTTAGGCCTTGGTTGGTCACGGCTAAGGAAGCTTATCCCGAAAGAAAAGCACATTGAAGACGGAGAAGCCAGGTCAAAAGACAAAGATTTAAAAAAATAGATTTAAAACAGCAAAATTGTTTCTCTTGTGACTGCATGTCAGTCCTCCAGGCATCTCAGAGGGATCCACGAGACAACATGGAAAGAGAACTGACCCACCAGCTAAACTGACTCGCAGAAAACATTCACATCGTTCTCCAATGGATCCCAGTTCACTGCGGCATACCAGGAACTGAGTTAGCAGACAGACTTGCTAAAAATGGAACAAAGGAGAAAAAACACACCCATCCATTGTCGTTACCAGAAAGGAGAACAAACTCTTATCAAGGGAAAATACAAGGAATTGTGGAGAGAACAAACTAACAGTAAACATACTCAAGACCCCATCAGCAAACTCAACAGAAAGCAACATACAACAATTTTCCGTCTACGAAGAGGACTGCAGGCTCAGCTACCACATGCATAAAATGAAGATTGTACAGTCTCCACAGTGTTCCTGTCAATCAGGACCACAAACACCTGAGCACATTCTGCAGACCTGACCACTATACAAATTTTAAAGGACACCTGGCCTCAAGAGCAGAGTGTGCAGAGCAAGCTATGGGGAACCATGAAGAACCTGCTACTGACATGGGAGTTCATTGAGGCAACCAACCTGATGGTCTGATCTGAGCATATGAAACCGAATGCAAAGAAGCAAAAAGAAGAAGAAAGGCACAGATAGAATGGGAGACTATTTTCCCACAAACATGGCGGCACACATACCTTCTTTAATGTCAGAAAACCCTAGCAGGAATGAAGACTGTGGTGTTTAATCTTTAACACTTCACTGAAACTGTATCATTCTGGACCCTACCCTAAAAGTGGTAACTATACAATTTCATCACTCACAAATCTAGAAGAAAGCCCAGAAAACATATCTGTAAGAGCGACAATATGAAAAAAGAAGACATGTGCACTCCGAAGATTCTACAATGGAATGCAGAGGGAGTCCGCAACAAGAAAGCTGCGCTCACAAAAAAACTTCTCAAGGGGAATATTAATTGTGCCTGAATACAGGAGATGCACCTGTCAAATATATTTACATATTCTGCATTAGAAGCGTCCAGTGTTTCAGACAGGATAGAGAAAATGGTCCCAGGGGAGGAGTCCTCATTCTAGTGAAGAACAGCATCCCAGCAGCTAGTCTTACAGTGAACACAGAACAGGAGTCTGAGATCATGGGTGTCAGGCCTAACTTTTCAGGCAAGGAAATTGTATTATACAATTGCTACTGCCCTCTAGGTAAAGAACTCTCCTCATACAACATGAGAATCCCAGATGACAACTGTATCGTTCTCAGAGATTTTAACAGCTGCTCTCCAAGCTGGGGATATCCACAGCTCAACCAGAGAGGGGAAGAAGTGGGAACTGGCAGACCTATGCCAGACTCCAGCTAATTAACAAGCTAGTATTCCCCATCTTTTTTCTCCAGGACATGGCTTTTCACCTGCCGCCCAGACTTAATGTTTGCTACGTTAGACTTGGCAAGTAACATACACAAAACGCTGCTTGGCCAACTAGCAGGTAGTGACCACCGACCAATCTTGATCTCTGCTCTGAATATGAGAGGCTCGCAGTCGATGCCACCCCCTCGATGGAACTACAAAAAAGCTGACTGGAACAGTTTTGCTAATCTTGCTGATGTAAACTCGATAAATGTAAACAGCAAATCAAGTTAGGTTGCAAAATCAATAAAAAAGTTTACAGAAGCTGCATTAAAAGCAGCCAAAGAAACAATGTCTCAGGGCTCAAGTAAGGATTCCATTCCATTTTGATCCCAACAAATTCAAGACCTCCACCAAACTCTTTCAGAAGCAAGAGATAGAGTAGAAAGCAACCCAACGGTAGAAAACAACATTACCTACAAACAGCTGAAGCTAAGCTCATAAAAGAAACAAT